TTTAAACTAAAATAGTAGATAAAAATAAATAAAAACTGGAAAAGGCCTTGCATATTAAATTGCAAATAAAAATAAACTGGAAATTAAACTTGTCTTAACACAGAGTGTGACCTGCCATCACTCAGGAATGGAAAGATTCTTCTGCAGGAACAGTAGCTCAGGACCAGGTGACATGCCCAGGTGTAAGGCAACTTCTTTTGGCAGTATTGATATCACCTGCAGTTGAAAAAAACCCTCTCAGATGTGACGCTGGAGTTTTCAAAGCAACCGCTTAACGTTACTGACCGCCATGTTCGTTGTTTTAATGTCCTTCCACCTCGCGCGCATGCGTGAATTCAATGACGCGGCAAGTTAAAGTTCACAGGGAAAATGTAGTTGTAGTTGCAGTGAGCTTCGTGACGCACACTGGCTCACTCACTCGAGCGCGCACACACACACACTCAACGGGGCTTCACTCACTCACGAGTCACGATCGCGCGTGCGCACATGTAGGCCTATTATTAAATTGATCCTCTAAGTTACGGATCGATCTTTAGAAATTAATATTAAAATCGATTCAGAATTGGTGAATCTATTTCTTCAACACAGCCCTAGTCATAACGTAACGTGACGGCATACACGGAAGCTACAAAAGGACGCCGGCACACAACAGAGTTAGCTTCTGCAATGAAGCAAGTCGCTCCCAGGCAGGGGAAGGTGTGGCGGAGGGACCCAGTGTCTCGTTCCCTTCTCAGGGAACAAGGGTTACAGTCGTAACCCGAGATGTTCCCTTTCGAGGGAACTCGAACTGCGTCGACTACGACACTTTGGGGAACGAGTAGCCACTATGCCACAACGAGCCCTACCTGTCCCAGTGTGAAGCTGCGCACAGGCAGACTTAGGACGAGAGCACCCGAAGCACACCAGCAACTGATCTGACTTCCGCCATGAAAAAGACCTATGGACATATATCTTGAGAGCTCTGACAAGGCAGAGTTAATTAAGTATTTCTTCATCCACCGTCATGTGAGGTGGAGGATGAAAGCCTACAGAACCGTAGGCCGTGCCACATTAGATGGCACTTTAGGCACATAGCCCGGCCTGGGATGCAAGATAGCCTTAATGTTGCCTGAAGCAAACTTCAGGCACCCATGAGATATAGAGAGCGTCTGAAAGTCTCCTACTCTCCTCAGAGAAGTAATGGCTAATAAAAAAGCTACCTTGAGGGAAGGTTCTTGGCCTCAGCCGACTCCAGAGGTTCGAAGGGGGCCTCGACCAGCCCTTCAAGAACCACTGCCAGGTCCCATGTGGGAACTCTGGTACAAGCCACAGGTCTCATCCTCCGAGCCCCACAGAGGAAACGTACGACCAGCTGAGGTCTCCCCAGAGGCCCATCACCCAGAGGAGCGTGGAAAGCCGCAATGGCAGCCACGTACACCTTGAGTGTGGACGGGGTAAGACCAGCCAAGAAGCGATCTTGGAGGAACTCCAGCACTGAAGCCAACCGGGCAGTTAACTGGGTCCACCTCACACTCTCTATACCAAGTGGAAACACTTTCCACTTTAGGCCGTACAATATCCTTGTGGAAGGAGCTCTGGAACTGAGTATGGTCTCAACCACTGCAGCCGACAGGCCAGCCTCTAGGTACTGAGCCCCCTCAGGGGCCAGGCCCAAAGCTTCCACAGGTCTGGTCGAGGGTGCTTAATATTGAGCCCCCCGGCCTGTGGAAGCAGGTCCCTCCTCAAAGGGATCTGCCAAGGCTGGCCTGCCAGAAGTGCTATGATGTCTGAAAACCATACTCAGGTCGGCCAGTACGGGGCTACTAGAAGTAGGCTGATTCCGTCTCGACGGACCCTCTCCAGAACTCCCGGGAGCAGAGGAATTGGGGGAAAAGCGTACAGGTGTAGCCTCGGCCACGTCTGTACCATGGCATCCAAACCCAATGGGGCTGGATGGGTGAGAGAATACCACAGTGGACAGTGGGACGTCCCTCGAGACGTGAACAAATCCACTTCCACTGGGCCGAACCTCACTCATATCGACTTCACCACCTCGGTGTGAAGTCTCCATTCCCTGGGCCTCAGCCCTTGCCTCGACAGGATGTCTGCTCTCTCATTCTGGTCCCCTGGGACGTGGATTGCTCTGAGAGATAACAGTTTCCCCTGGGACCACAGGAGGATCTGATGCGGCAATCTAGATAGAGGGCGCAATCTCAGAACCCCCTGATGAATCAAGTAGGAGACCACCGACACATTGTCTGCATGGTGACCCCTCAGGTCAGTGAGGAAGCTCCTCAGAGCCCTGCCTGACCGCACCCCAGCCCGTGAGGGAGGCGTCTGTCGAGACGGATTTCCGGCGACATGACGCTCCCCGCACGGGGCCTTGGGACAGAAACCAAGCTTTATTCCACATAGATAGGGAACGAAGGCATCTGCGCGTAACCCTGATCATGTGGAATGGGATCTTCTTCGGGGAGAACCCCTTGGTTTTCAACCACCACTGCAGGGCCCTCATGTGCAGCAGGCCGAATGGAATGATGTTGGACGCTGCTGCCATGAGTCCTAACACTCTCTGAAAGTGTTTGACAGTGATGGCTTGGCCTAGCTTTATCCTGGTCACCAATGGCCAGGATGGACTCGATCCGTGCAGGAGACAATTGTGCCCGCATCGTGACCGAGTCCCACACCACTCCCAGGAACGTGGTTCTCTGGCTGGTGCCAACACGCTCTTTTTTGTGTTGAGTCTCAACCCCAGGCTCTGGATGTGGGCAAGGACGACATCTCGATACCGAACTGCCAGCTCTTGTGACTGGGCCAAAAGCAGCCAGTCACCGAGAAGCCTCAGCGGTGATAGAGCTGCATCCATGCATTTGGTAAATGTGCGAGGGGAGAGAGCTAGGCCGAACGGAAGAACCCGATATTGGTACGCTTCGCCCCCGAAAGCGAACCTCAGGAACTTCCTCTGAGATGGAAGGATGGATATGTGGAAGTATGCGTGATGGTGAGCATCTTGAACCTGAACCTCCTCAGAGACCGACACTGGATACAAACATCGATTTCCTGAGGGCTCCGCGGAGGAGTGATTCTCGCTCATCCCTCCACGGCGGGGGACAGCCCTGCTGCTTTTGTCTTGGTTTAGATACCCTGAAGCGGAGGACCGGCAGGGAAAAATTAAGCGATTTTCGACGTTCGCAGCCATAAACACTGGATAAGTGAAACACGGTCTAGATGGTAGGCTGAATTAAAATATCTATCTTCTTAAACTCAGATAATATTCCATCATTTTAATTTCATAGAATTAAATGCTGCCATAATCACCAAACAATACTGTTTTAATATTATTTACAGTCTCGTAATCTACACACTGCCTCGGCAAACGCGAGAATTGAGCCGTTACAATATATTTGGCTTTCATCCCTCGAGAAGAAAGTCAACAGGTGCGAGGCTGAAACATCCGACAGCGCACGGTTAATATAGGCCTACGTGTCGAGATATTTCTCAATGAACACTGCCAGTACCATTAGGAGCTGACTGTGAATGCCTCGCACCCAAACAGTATTATTTAACATATCGCGTGTGTTCCTTTTATTGTAGACCCGTAATCTACACGCTGCCTCTGCAAATGCGAGATTCGAGTCATTCACAATATATTTGGCTTTCATCTCTCGAGAAGAAAGTCAACGGGCGCGAGGCTGAAACACCCGAAAACGCACGGCTGTGTGCGTCGAGATATTTCTCAATGAACACTGCCAGGACCCTCAGGAGCTGACTGTGCATGCCTCACACCTACACAGAATCTTTATTGCATAGTAGACCCATAATCACGCTGCCTCGGCAAACGCGAGATCTGAGCCACTATAGATTCTGTATTGCAATGCAGACCTTTAATCTATGCGCTGCCTCGGCAAACGCAAGATCCCAGTCACAGAATCTTTATTGCAAAGTGACCCGTAATCTACGCGCTGCCTCGGCAAAAGCGAGATCCGAGCCACTATAGATTCTGTATTGCAATGCAGACCTTTAATCTATGCGCTGCCTCGGCAAATGCGAGATCCTAATCACAGAATCTTTATTGCTGAGTAGACCCGTAATCTACACGCTGCCTCGGCAAATGCGAGATCCGAGCCACTAGATTCTATATTGCAATGCAGACCTTTATTTAGGACAATTCTTATGGGACAAACAACACCAAATAGGACAGATAGTTTGACACAGAGCGCTTGCTGAAGAGCAAAAAGCAAACTCTGTTGTGTGCCGGCCTCCCTTTGTAGTTTACGTGTATGACGTTACGTTATGACGCAGCACCAATCAGGATTGGATTAGTTTCATTCATACTTCAGATGTGTTTCGCTAAGGGCGTTCCCCAAAGTGTCGTAGGCGAAGCAGTTCGAGTTCCCTCGAAAGGGAACACACTCCTTCCATTAATAATAATGGCTAGTGCGGTGGCTGGGATATACACAAACCTACCAACATCCATCGCCATGATTTTTGGAATGACTGATCACTGAAGAAGAAAAAATTACGTTTTAGTCACATAACATCGGTTAATGGAAATGCCGTCATTTCGCAATAGTTTTTTTCGACATTTAGAAAAAACAGCAAAAGTTTTGCGCAAATCTGTAATGGAAACGGCGTGCCTTATGTAACCAATAATTGTCCTCTGATTTTATGACTAGCTATGCTATGATTGGTTAGTAGGAATGCTATTTCCAGCATTGTGTAAAATATGGAAAAAATATCTAATCAAGTTGATTTCTTATTGAACTACCTTTAACGATCAAAAAATATTAGAAGACTAGAAGTTGGGATTTTTAACTCTTTTGATTTGTTCATTGATTCAATTAGTTTCATAATTACACCAGCTATACACTAAGCTACATTATGCACTAAATGTAGCTTGCTCAACACTGTTTACAGATGCGTGGAAGTAAACAAGAATGATTCATTCACTTAAAAGATTCATTCAGAGAATAACAATAACTCCTTTATGACACAAGCACACTAGAACACATTTTACTCACATGTAGCGGAGGTGAGGGTTCTGTGCAAATGCACGTGCCTGGATTGTCCGTAAATTGCAGTTCATTATTGACCTGAAAAACAGAGAGAGAGACTACTGAATGAAAATGCACAGTTCCTCTCAAACATATGTGAATGATAGGTGTCATTGGCTGGCCACAAATGGTAAATGGACTGCATTAATCCAGCATTGATGAGTGCAAATAAATTTTCCCAAGGTAAGACCACCAACATTTATTTCAGCCTCCATACAGCGCGGTTCATCCAGTAATTTTGACTGAGGGCCCTGTTGTTGGTCATTTGCACCTGGCATTGCAAGTCGATCATTCAAACCTGAGAAAGCCAACAGTTCATTAGAGCCTTGCAGCTTGATATACATCGTTTATGATGATAAACTGCAGAAGCAATCTCAGTTTGCCATCTTTCCCATCTCTTCAGAGAGTGTCATTAGAATAATGGTATCATCAGGGTCCCCAATTTCATAGCGCTGAGCCGCAGCGGCAGCTGGAATGAATTGTGCATCCTAAAGACTCTGTGCACAGTCTGGGTGGCATTAATTGGTAATGACTGCATCCTTTTCATTACAGGAATTTAATGCAAAAAGTGATTACACTCACAACACCCTTATCCGGTGAACAGTAATCAGTACAGAATTAGTTTTATTATGATGATGGCTCTATAGTAAACTATTTCTAGGAATACAATTATCCATCTCTATTATGAGAAAGATATAAGGAGGATGTTGGCTGTGTTTATACCATTTTTCTTCTTAACCATTCAGCTCTTAAAAGCCTAAAAACAATGGTCCTTCACGTGACATCCATGAACTTGTGGGGGTGGGATTACGAGTGTAGGCAGATATTTCATTTCGGCACTGCTGCAATGGTTCTTCTGCATGCGCTAGTGAAATCCCTACGAGCAGGTCAGCGGTTCCTATGCTTGAACAAGAAAAGTTTGGCTGAATTTTTACAAATGTTTAAAAAGCCTGGCACTTCAAATGTTGTTTAGGCCTTATGCACTTTAAACAACTTAAGATCAATACATCAATAAAGGGACAGTTCAACCGGAAATACAATTCTGTCATCCATGGAACACAAAAGAGATATTTTGAAGGTCAGATTTGTGTTCTGCATAAGAATGGTCAAATGGGTCTGAAACAAGTAAATGGGGACACAATTTTTCTTTTTGGTTAAACTATCCCTTCAAGAGGATGGATGGATGGATGGATGGATGGATGGATGGATGGATGGATGGATGGATGGATGGATGGATGGATGGATGGATGGATGGATGGATGGATGGATGGATGGATGGATGGATGGATGGATAAAATCAGATAGATAGATAGATAGATAGATAGATAGATAGATAGATAGATAGATAGATAGATAGATAGATAGATAGATAGATAGATAGATAGATAGATAGATAGATAGAAAGATAGAAAGAAAGGAAGATTAGTTAGAAAGAAAGAAATATTAGTTAGAAAGAATAGTTAGAAAGAAAGAAAGTTAGAAAGTCAGAAAAGAAAGAAAGATAGATAGAAAGAAAGAAAGATTAGTTAGAAAGAAAGAAAGAAAGAAATAATAGTTAGAAAGAATAGTTAGAAAGAAAGAAAAGTTAGAAAGTAAGAAAAGAAAGAAAGAAAGATAGATAGAAAGAAAGATTAGTTAGAAAGAAAGAAAGAAATAATAGTTAGAAAGAATAGTTAGAAAGAAAGAAAAGTTAGAAAGTAAGAAAAGATAGATAGATTTAGATAGATAGATAGATAGATAGATAGATAGATAGATAGATAGATAGATAGATAGATAGATAGATAGATAGATAGATAGATAGATAGATAGATAGATAGATAGATAGATAGATAGATTATCCATCATTATGTAAAAAAGCAACATATGATGGCAGAGCTTTCAGCTTAGATTCCCCTATCCTACTAAGTGCTAATGTGGATTTCTGTCTAGAAATTTCTGTCTATTTTCTGTGGATTTCTGTCTTCTGTCTATACGTAATTAACATTTTGCAAAAGAAAACCTCAAAAAGGTTAATTATAGATAAAGTAAGACAGAAACACACCTGTTCACCGGTCTTTTTCCACAGCTGTAGGCAAAGGCAAGCACACGTTTCAAATCAGTGCTTCCCCCGGGAGACTAGCGCTAAATGAATCCCCTATTTTAGCGCCATTTACTGTTTTAGAAGAGGACGTTCCTCAACTGCATTTGTGAGAAAATCTGCCTGGACACATTTGTGAGAAAATTGAGCCGAGAGATCTCATAAAAAGCAAAGTGTCTCACAATCATAACAGACAGATATGCATTTGTATGCACTAGATTTGGTATTTGTTCAAAGGTTACATGCAATTTGTAGGATGGTTTGTATTTAATTGTGAAATATTATCTAGGCTCATTTATTTATATTTGCAAAACACAATGCATATGTGCATTTTCGCTCAAATTGACCTTTGCACTTGCACATTGCTTTCTGTTTGTTTGCGAGTCGAGTTTTCCTTTGCAAAGCAGATCGAGTTTGTTTGCGAGTTGAATTTTACTTTGCAAACCAGATCGAATTTGTTTGCAAAATGCTGGATTTGTTTGTTTAATTATGGCACAATATTAACTCCATACCCCTAAGCACCTGTGATCCTGGGGCAGCGCCCAGGTCCAGGTTGTAGAAACTTATGAATGTGAGTGGAGAGGGACCAGCCCATCGCATCACAAACGTCTTGAAGGGAGACACCCGAAAATTAAGGCCTTGAAGGGAGACACCCGAAAATTAAGGCCTTGGAGGCCACCATACTCCTAATCGAATGAGCTCTGACAGCTAAAGGCAAATGCTGACCAGAAACCTCATAAGCAAGATGAATAGCCTCAACTATCCATCTGCCAACTGTCTGTTTGGATGCAGGGGACCCCTTTTTAGGTGATCCACAGCAGACAAATAGCTGATCGGTTTTCCTCAAAAAGGCAGCTCTGTGGACATAAGTATCCAGTGCTCTCACTGGACACAGAAAGGGTTACGCTTTTTCTGGTCCTGATCTCCGAAAGGAGGAGGGCTGAAGGCTTGCAAAACAATAGGCTGCGGTACATTGGTTGGCACCTTAGGGACATAGCCTGGCTTTGAGTAAAGGAATGCTTTGACCATCCCCGGTGCAAACTCAAGGCACGTGGGGGATACCGACAGGTCAGGGCCTGAAGATCACCTACTCTCTTTAAGTCAAGTCAAATCACATTTATTTATATAGCGCTTTTTACAATACAGATTGTAAAAAGCAGCTTTACAGAGATAACGGGAAAATAATGCAACAAAGTTTGTTTCCAGAAGAAAATAGGGTCACAGTCCAATTTAAGTAAGTTCAGTGATGTTTCATTTTTTTGTTATAAAAAAGTTATTAATTTAGTTAATTTATATACTGTATATAGGCGCTCTGGTGAAAACCGCGATGTCATCGTCCAGCTCAGTTCAGTTCTCATATAATGGTGTCAATGCAGGCAGTTCAATTTAGTGAAGATATGGCCAGAAGGAACACAGTTTTTAAAGTCAGAAACTTTTCTGGAACTGTCTCAAGGGACTCGAAGGAAGCCGCCCAAAGGGACGTGGTAAGCAGCTATGGCTGCCACGTACACCTTTAGTGCGGAAGGGGATAGTCCTGCAGAAAAACGATCTTGCAGAAACTCTAGCACTGAACCAATCGGACAGTTTACTGAATCCCACTGTCGAATTCTGCACCAAGAAGTGAAAACTCTCCACTTCAAGGCATAAAGTTTCCTCATGGAGGGAGCTCTGGAGTGAAGTATGGTAACAAACTCAGTTGAGAGACCTTAGTCTATGAGTTGGGCCCCCTCAGAGGCCAAACCCACAGGTTCCATATCTCCAGGCTAGGGTGAAGAATCGTGTCTCCCGCCTGGCACAGAAGGTCCCTCCTGAACAGAATCAGGGGGGCTGGGTCTGTTAGAGAGAACCAAAGTGGACAGTGCGTCGAATCCTGAGACGCAAACAGATCCCCTTCCGCTTGGCCGTAAACCTCCTCACCTCGGGGTGAAGTCTCTATTCCCCTGGCCTCAGGCCATGTCTCAGCAGGATGTCTGCTCCTACATTCTGGTACCCCGGGATGTATACTGCCCTCAGAGAGAGCGTGATCCCCTAGGGACCACAGGAGGATCTAGTGTGCCAGTTTTCATGGTGAATGCGTGATTTATGAAAGACACCTCCGATGTGTTGTCTGTTTGGACAAGCACATGATGGCCTTTTAGGTCTGGGAGGAAGTGCTTCAATGCCATGAAGACAGCCATCATCTCCAGGCAATTTATGTGCCAAGAGAGATGATGACTCCTCCAAAGACCCAGAGCTGAGCGGCCTTCCATTACCGCTACCCAGCCCGTGAGAGAAGCATCTGTCGTGAGCATGACGCAATGACAATGAGCTCCTAACACAGGAGCCTGGGACAAGAACCAAGGTTTCCTCCATATAACCAAGGCCACGAAGACACCTGAGCGTAATCTTGATCATACGAAGTGGGTTCCCCTTGATCTTGAGCCACCACTGCAAGGGTTCATGTACAGCAGGCCAAAAGGTATCATTTTGGACGCAGCTGCCATCAGACCCAACAGTCTCTGAAACTGTTTCACAGTGAGTGACTAGCCTAGCTTTATCTCTTTTAAGGCTGTGAGGATTGCAGCAACACGAGCAGGTGAAAGGACGGCCTGCATCGTTACTGAATCCCATACCACACCAAGGAAAGTGGTCCTCTGAACTGGAGAAAGCACACTCTTCTCGACATTCAGTCTCAACCCCAACTGTTGAATGTGAGAACGACATCTCAATGCTGAACCGCCATCTGCTCCGACTCTGCTAGAATAAGCCAGTCATCTATATAGTTCAGAATGCAAATTCCTTGCAGTCTAAGCGGCACCAGAGCTGCATCCACACTAGGGCTGCACGATTTGAGGAAAATGTCATATTGCGATTAATGAGGTCAATATTCAATTGCGATATGCGATTGCGATTTAATAAACAAATGGTTTCATGAGTCAACTTGCTTGGTTCTAAAGTAAAATGCACACACAGATTAGTGATCATTCTGTGTAATGTGTATTTCTCAACTCAAACTAGCAACAACAACTAAATGATTGATAACACCTATAATGATAAATAAACCATTGATGTCTGGATAAAAATGACGACACCCCCCACATTTTAAACGTTAATTATAGCCATCCAACATTACAGTGATTCCATCAATACAATTGAAAGCTATCAACTTTTAAAATATTTATTAGGCTTAAAAAAAATAACAGCTTTTAAATTAAGTGAACTTCAAACAATCCTCACATAAACCCATAATAAATGCCATATTTACCTGTGCCCTTCCTGTCTTAACAGGTAGGATTGAGGATTTATATACAGATTTATATACAGAAATTGAATAAAGTTATCAAACAGTCTGCGCTGCATGAATTATAAATTATATATAGACTAATCCTTATTAAAGCTACAAAACTTCTTTAGTCAAGAGCATGTGAGTAATTTTCTGTTCCCTTTGTTCTTTGATTAACTTTACTGACGGAACGCTTTATTCGCTGCTGGCCCTTTAAGAGCAACCGTTGCCGAGACGCGTATCTCACACGCGCCTCATTCTCTCACAAGCACAACTCTTTTCGTCCATCATAAGACTGCTCTTATGTTATGAAGATAATCGACAAAACGACATTTTGGCATAATTGTGTGTGTTATTGTTCGTTCAAGCTCGAAAGAGAACTGTATTCTGGCACCCGGTCTGTGCATGCGCATTATACTGGCGCGCGTTATTCTGTGAGTCACATTCAGGACATTCACAGGCAGCGCGCTCTCTTTTGACTTCTTGTCGTGCAAAATGGTTTTAAGGCATTTGCACGAATAAGAGCGGGATCATGTAACACTAGTCAAAGGATGACAAAAAAGAAGAGATGCTGCGTTAATAGCCCTAATTTGTTTATTTCATATAAAATCGCGGCATTTTGCGTTATATAATCGCATAGGTTTGACATCGCGATTACGATTGCGATACGATTAATCGTGCAGCACTAATCCACACATTTTGTGAACTTGTTTTATAGCTTCCTTCGCTAATAGAGACTTTACTTCTTGTTCCATCACCAGAGCCTGCTCGGGATGTACTAACGTCAGTAGAACCCCGTTGAATCTAGTGGACGAGAACCAAACTGGATTCTGTAACCTTTTTTATATAATCTGCAGGACCCACCGAGATACGTTTGGCAGAAGCTGAGGCACAGAAGCTAACGCCGGTCATTCCGGATGTGCTTTTATGCTTTCCTGGTCGTGACGTCACCTGCCCGTGATGTCCCGTCTCACCATTGGACTACTTGAGACACGTGTTTCAGACGCAATCACACAGAGGCGTTCTCAAAGCGTCATTGACACAGCGCGTTCCCAAAGCGTCATTGACACAGCGCGTTCCCTTGAAAAGGGAACTGAAGATTAAAGATATCTTCCCAAAACATGTCTCAGATGACTCAAATCGTGGAGTGTGCACCAGACTTTAGTGTAAAATACATGTAACCTCTATGGGATTTGTTTTTGAATACTCACAGTCTCTGGAGTCCTGTGTACAGTTCCATGTCAACATCCTTAAGAATCTGCAATCCAGTCCAATTTTCTATGTGTCTACAAAAGAAAGAGAGAAAATATTGAAAACAGCACCATTACCACCAATTTATTCAACCAAGATATATGTGTTTTTCCACTTGATGGCTGAGGCAGGAACCCAACGGAAGGTCCCTTGAGTTTTGAAAAATATATCACAGTTCAGTGAGCGCTCTTGAAACATTCCTCTCAGAGGCATTCGTGTGTTGGTTACGCAGATGGCCTAAGGGTGTGATTACTTGCAAACCACACTGTGAAATAATTAGCAAAACAATTTGTTTTACCCTAGACTGTAAGGTCAAATGCATATAACATGGGAAACACAAAGATAATTATCATGTATACCATGCAGAATTACCAGAGACACAAGTAAACTTGTATGGGAGAGCTTGGATCATTGTAACTCTAAATAAATGTATCATCAGTAATAAAACTCACAATAAGCACAATTTAATCATCTCTTCTCCCAAAATAATTTACACAAATAGTTCAAAAGTGTGGGGTCTGTAGATTTTTTTAAATACTTTTATTCAGCAAGGACTCATTCAATTGCTCAATTCCACAAAAACAAATGAAGCAGTACAACTATTTTCAACATTGATAATCATAAGAAATGTTTCTCAAGCAGCAAATCAGCATATTAGAATGATTTCTGAGGGATCATGTGACACTGAAGACTGGAGTAGTGATGCTGAAAATGCAGCTTTGCCATCACAGATTTTTTTTTTTTTTTTTTTTTTTTTTTTTTCGAAACAGTTCTTTTAAATTGTAATTATATTTCACAATATTATTGTTTTTACTGTATTTTTGATTGAATAAATGCAGCCTTGGTGAGAGACTTCTTTCAAAAACATTAAAAATTGACCCCAAACTTTTGAATGGTTGGTTATATATCATTTATAAATATAATCATTCACATTCTAGTGCTTTTCTGTTACAACTACGTAGCAAGTATTTTATAAGTATACCTTGGACCTTGGTATATTTTGAGTTCAGTAGAATCTGACTTTAAAGGGATAGTTCACACTAAAATAAAAATTATCTTATTAATTACTCACCCTCGTGTCGTTCCAAACCCGTAAGACTTTCGTTCATCTTCGGAACACAAATGAAGATATTTTTGATGAAATCTGAGAGAAATCTACGCAACTACTACTTTCAAGCCCCAGGAAGGAAGTAGAGACATCACTAAACAAAAGTAAAAGTAAAGTCCTTTTTTTAAGCGACGCGAGTACTTTGTTTGCACAAAAAAAAACCCATAATTGACCACTTTATTTACCAAATATTAATCTCCAATGCACATTCACGCAACAGCGTCTGCTCAACACAAAACGTATGCGTCTTGGTCCTCTCGTGAACGCGCATTGGAGGTTAGTCTTTTGTAAATAAAGTGGATAAATGATCTTTTGCTGCACAAACAAATCACGTCACTTCATAAAATTGAGGTTTAACCACTGGAGTCACATGGATTATTATAATGATGTCTTTACTACCTTTCTGGGGCTTGAAACTGGTAGTTGCGTAGCTGTCACTGGAGGTACAGAAAGCTCTCAGATTTCAACAAAAAGATCTTCATTTGTGTTCTGAAGGTGAATGAAAGTCTTATGCTTTGTAATGACATGAGGGTGAGTAAATGATGAGAGAAAATGTATGTGGGTGAACTAACCCTTTAATTCATAGATATGTTTAAACTTATTGTAACTGTAATGACAACTAAACTTATTGATTTTTTTTTTTTTTAAAGAGGCAAAAATTAAAAAAGTTTAGGCTAAACAATTTCTGAATAAATACTAAAATCCAAGTGAAACAAAGGTGTTACACAATTATCCCTCGCCTCCCCTACCATGTCACTGAAACACCCTTATCAGTGTCAGCATCTGCTTGAAAACATGCTTGCATTTAAATTCAGCTACTGCCAGGGCATGCAGCACTGCCTTTATTTCCTATTCCACAAGCTTTTTATCTGCCAGCTAAAACAAACACAATCTGGATAGAAGTGAAAGATGTTCCAAGCAGGAGAAATTAAGGATGTGCCGCTGACAGAACACAGCCACAGACAAAAGCAAACAAGAATACACGCTTCTAGATCCACACACACCCTGACAATGCCACAAAACCCCTAGAAGCACAGTCCAGCACAGTCCATCAGGTAGATTTAATGTTTCTGTTTACAGCATTGGAGAGAGTGACACTTTACAAATGAGGCGCACTGCAGTTAATGTAATACAGCAGAGGCCCTGCTACTTTACTGCCCATTGGTTTTATACAGTGTCTTCAGGTCACTCATTTCCACAAAGGGCTTTGATTGAGGATGGGCTTCACAGCTGACGCCCACCGATGAACGATGCCATACCTAACCAGTTGAGAATCACTGTTTCCTTTCGAGGGAACTCGCGATGCGATGCGTTGATGACGCTTTGGGAACGTCCTTGCGTGATTGCGTCTGAAGCACGTATGTCAACTAGTCCAACGGCGAGAGTGAGCGTCACGGGCAGGTGACGTCACGACCAGGAAAGGATAAAAGCACATCCGGTTTAGAACCGCGCTAGCTTCTGTGCCTTCAGCAAGCGCTCTTTGTGAATCTGTCTCTGTCTATGTATTGTTGTTTGTCCTCAAGCATATATATTTATATATTAGACAGGAGTATGGCGAGCAAACAGCTTTGGATCGTGTGTTCGTCCCTGCCCTCGCTTCATTACGAGTGGGGACACACGCGATTCATGTGTTGTTTGGGACGGGAATTTCCCTTTCTCTCGTTCTCTTATTATTGTGTGCAAACTAATTTAGTATTCTTTATTGTTTGAAACTGTCTATATTAATACACTATATCCAGCCTTTCAACTAGTCCGTTTCTACTTGTCTTATTGATATTTGGCTGCATTTAATTTTTGAGAAAATGAAATATGCACTTATCTGATCTTTGAGGATCCCATTTAGTGGGAAGTGGATAACACCTCATTATACCTCCGGTGCCCTCCAGCGAGTTCTAGTCTCAGTGTCTGACTCGCAGAAGGTGGGTTTAAGAGGGGTCAGTTTGGTTATTTCCTGCCGGTCATCCGTTTCAGGACGCCGGATTGGCTTCTCAAGCTATACTAGAGACCAGTCTCGAGAGGCTGGTTCCTTTAGTATTCTCAGCCGTAGTCATCTTGGGATAAGACATATCTGAGGACAGTCATTATCTCGAAGAAGGCTTCGACTAAGAAGAAGTCCTGATGCCGAGGCTATCAGGCTTCTGAGGGTGGCCCCCTCTGGGGAGAGACGGGTTCGAGAATCTGTGTCTCCTCAGCACCCTCTGAGGGGCGGCTCTCTGAGGAGGGTCGCAGTGCTGCCAGTTCGGTTTTCCCTGCCGGTTTGCCGCATCAGGGCACCGAAGTGGCTGTTCGACCAGTACCAGAGGCCAGTCTCGAGAGATTGGTCCCCTTAGTAGATTTTCTGGCAGCGTGGAAGCTACTGCCAAAATATATCATCTTTGGGGCCTGCTCACTATAGAAAAGGGTTACAGAATTCAGTTCGGTTCTCATCCACCCATATTTATAGGGGTCCTCCCTACGTGGTGGACCCCGAGCAGGCTCTGGTTATGTTATCATTTGAGATTAACAAACTCCTTGTACAAGATAGAGTGTCGTTTCCTGTGCTCCCCCTCAGATAGACCGGGATGGCATTCTCAACAGAAGCCTTTGAAGCAGAAGATGGATCTGAGGACCATTGTTTCTGCGAAAAAGGCTTCGGCCAAGGTCCTGACGCCACAGGTGTCAGACCTCTGAGGGCAGCCCTGACCAGTGTGGAGCGGTGTACACCTCAGTATACGGTGCCCGCCCCACCTTGGTGCCCTCAGGAGGCCGTTCTGCCAACACCGCCACCCTTGGTGCCTCGGGGCGCAGCGGTCTCCAGCGAGGACATGGCTCAGTGTCACCACGACGCTGTGTCAAACTCGCACCCTCTGAGGGGGGTTCAAAAACAGTCAGTTCGGTTGTTTCCTGCCAGTATGCTTCAGGTCACCGAAGTGACTTTTTCAATTACACCAGAGGCCAGTCTCGAGAGACTGGTACCCTTAATAGATTATCTGACAGAATGAAAAAAAAATCTGCCAAATATATCTCAGTGTGTCCTGCTCATAGAGTAAGGCTACAGAATCCAGTTTGATCAGTTTGGTTCTCGTCAGCCACGCTACAACGGGGTGTTGCTCACGTTAGTGCATCCCGAGCAGGCTCTGGTAATGGAGCAAGAAGTAAAGACTCTGTTAGCTGAGCAAGCTACAGAGCAGGTGTATTCAACCAACAGAGAATCGGGTTTTTACAGCCGTTACTTCATTGTTCCAAAAAAGGATGGGGGGTTGCGTCTTTTATTAGATCTCAGTTGAATCGTGCAGTCAATAAATTCAAGTTCAAAATGCTGACATTCAAACATATTGTGACTCAAATCAGATCCGAGGACTGGTTTATCACGATAGATCTAAAAGACGCATACTTCCATGTCACCTTCCTCCCTCAGCACAGGAAGTTCCTCAGGTTTTCTTTCGGGGGCAAAGAATACCAATATCGGGTACTTCCATTCGGTCTAGCTCCATCACCCCGCACGTTCACGAAGGGCGAAGATGCAGCTCTGGCCCCGCCCAGGCTGCAGGGCATATGCATTCTGAACTACTTCGACGACTGGCTGATTCTGGCGGAATCAGAGCAGTTAGCGGTTCAGCATCGAGATGTCGTCCTCGCTCACATGAATAAATTGGGGTTGAGACTCAATGCCATGAAGAGTGTGCTTTCTCCATTACAGAGAACCACTTTCCTTGGTGTGGTATGGGATTCAGTCAGCTTGTGTAGCTGCTATCCTCACTGCCACGAAAGAGCTAAAGCTAGGCAAGTCACGCACTGTGAAACAGTTCGAGAGACTGTTAGGCCTCATGGCAGCAGCGTCCAATGTGTTACCCTTTGGCCTGCTGTACCTTGTTCGTTTCCTCCGAGGTGCTTTTAGACCAGGATAGGAGTATGGCGGCTTAGAAGCCTTATTATACAAGTAGTTAT